CAGGATTTCCCCTTAGTGAAACCATGCTGAGATAGTATGCTAATACTTAAAAGTTCCTGACAAAATATACTGATCCCAGCTTTTGGTGTTTTATTTCCTCTAATTAGGCATTTAATTCAGTTTGTGATGCTTGTAACTAATCTGCTTCAGGGGAAGTAACTGAAACACAGCAAACCTTTTGCTGATTTTTTCATATCCACTGGTCTCTGTTGCTGAGTATAAGTTTAGAGTCTAAGGTTAGGTGAACTGGCTATGGAGCATATTTTTCTTTAATCCTGCAAGTCAGTAACCACTTGTAAATTGGCATATAATTTAAGTGTTAATATTAACCAAAACAGTTAAATTTCAGATCTTGAAATCTCTGAAAGATCTTTTAAATGTTTTGGTTTTATCAACAATGTCTGTTAGGCTTGCGACAAGTACAGCATCAGCCTGAGGCAGCTTCAGATCCTTCAGAACTGAGATCCTTCAGAGAGGGTCATGAAGGTCTTGAAGTGATTCTGCCTCTAAAGGGAGTCCCAGGAGGTATTGAGCCTGGAGGCAGTTGAAAGGGCATTCTTGATGTTGCTAGAAAGAGAAAGCAGCAGCCCTAAGCAGGGAGAACATGTCAACACCACTAATACTTGCTCCAATTTTAGAATCGTATCAGTCTCGCTTAAAAGATGATAGTATAAACAGAGGAGGAAAGACTGATTTTAAACCAGGCTTTAAAACTAGCTGAAATCCAGAGTATAGCGTTACCTGTAAATCTCAAAACATCTCCAGTGCACTGAAACTGAAGCCCAGTGTGCACTGAAGTTCATCACCCAAAGTAATTATCACTGGTATTACCATAACACCTCTTCCTGTGAGTGTTAGGTACTGCACAGTGTACCTGTTGACTACAGGGCTCTTCAGAGGAAATCTTGTACTCTTTTGCCTACTTATGTGAGGTTTTTTAATATATTTTCATTATTCTTTTCTTCATTATTTAAAATTATTAGAGGTTGAAGCCTTCAATAATTCTTCTTACTGGAGTCATGCTCTTGTAACTGAACTGCAGCAGTGAGTATTTTACAGCTCTTAAAACCAGAATACTGTACAAAAACTAGTCATAAATTCATGATTCATACAAGGGCTTTATTTATTACTGTTCAGGTATCTGTCTGTGTTACAGTGAATTGTGGTAGTTCATTTTTCATTTGCGAAGCAATTTTTATTACATTGCTTTCTGATTGCAGATAGAATGCACCTGATGAAGTATATGAACCCAAGATCCCCTGTTATCTTCAGGGCTTTTCTTCATCTACTTTAGCTGGTTTTTTGTGTTTTTTTTTTTTTTTTTTGTAGGGTGCCTAATATTTTCACACCTATTTGAAAGTTTACACAGCATTAATTAGTAAACCAAAGACATATGCAGGAGGCAATTAGTGGCTAAAAGCTGATTTAAATTGAAGATAAGAGAGCAGTTGGTAATTGGCACTGGGTAGAAGGGGTTTTTAAACTCTTGTATGGATGAAGGATCAATCTTTTTGATTTACCATCCTTAAAGAAGAACATGAAGGCAATGCAGTAATGGTAAAGTGAGTTTTCAGACAGGGGTTTTCTTCCACTGATGATTTAATGTACTTGGGTTATTTTTGATGTACATTGGGGGTTATATCTAGAATATGATCTCTGTCCTTTTGCCAGCTATTGTTCCCTCTATCTGTTTCTTTTCTGTCTTCTGTGGTGAAAAAAGATGAGCCCTATTTATTTCTCTATATCAAAGCTTAATCTTTGCCACTTCTCATTTGGTTTGAAATCAAGTTACTATTCAGAATAATCTCAGTATAAACAGTAGCAACGAGTTGCATTTCCATGCAAGCCTGAATCCCAATTTTCTTATTAAGGAAGTGAGTTAATCTTACTTCCTTAGTAAGGCCCTTCTTTATGGTTTGAAATGTTCAGGAACCACTATTCTAAAGGGTAAAACTATGTATACCTGCTTCCTCCTAAAATTAGTATTAGTCACATAGCGTTTAATTGCAGTGAAGTACACTGGAAGTAAACCCCAAGAGTCTCAAGCAATTATGTCTTACGGAACACAGGACACACAGGAGCTGAAAGCATGATTAAGAGTTTACTGAGCAGCTAGGGTTCCTTAGATACCCTGTATGAAGCTTAAAAGCTAAGATGCTTCAGTGGAAGCTGCTGATAAGTGCCAAAGAACATGTGAACTTTTCAATCATCATCCTGAAAGTTAAGCTGTTTCCTAAGCACTAATAGTGAATATTCTCCTTTTGTTATTGTGTAAAGTTTTGGTCATATTGCTGTGGAAACTTCTCTGTGTTCCTCACAGTACAGTGTTGAAATACCAAATCCTGTGTGTCAAGGTTTTGATGCAGGTGTTGCCATCTCTGAAAACCTGATTTATATCCTAAAGAAAATCCTAACCTCAAGATTGTTTACGTTTGCAATACAGGGAGTAAATGAAAAGCAAGACAGAAATGCAACTGCAACACAGAATCACTCCTAATGCAGTAACTGTTGATCCCTCATCTCCCTCAATAAATACACAGAGCCATTCTAGTTAGTGTTCTTCAGAATATCCTCCAAAACTCTTGCAGACAACCTTTAGTGAAGCATCAAGAGTGAGTGTGAGGGATGTGATGAATTTTGAAATAGATGGAAATTATTTCATGAGTGCCTCATCCCAAGCATAAGGACTGTGCTATGTTTTCACTGAAAGATGCTCCTTCAAGGTTACGAACAGGCTGGACAGAGGTGGCAAATTTAGAGTTATGTTACCTTTCAGGATTGTTAAGCTATCCTATTAACCACTCTAATGTGATTTACATGTTCATGTTTTCCATTGGCACATATATGTGTCATTGTCCCAATAAAAACTGTTTTGAGCCATGGAGCAAAGTATTTGATGCGCCCTAGACCTCTCCTTTTGAAGGTGCTCTCTGCCCTCCTTTTGCCTTTGCAGGTAAGCAGTGGCAGGTCCTACAAAATGTTGGAGAAGGCTGGGAGGAGCAGGGGGAGAGTTGTGGCGTGAAGGGACACTTCTAGGGGTGAGGCGTTTTACACTCTTTACATATTTCTGCCTGGGAACTGCTGCTCTGACTTCCTCCTTTTATTTTCCTTCCACTCTTCTGGGATCTTTATCCCACCTAGAGTAAAATTCACTCCCTGTGGGCCAGTTACCTGAGAGAAAGCTCTTTTGTTACTTGGCTAGTCACAAATAGTGGGATTTTTTTTTAGAAAGACGGCAATATTGCAATCTTTAGAGTGTTAATAAGAAATCTCATGATAAATACAAAATATGCTTTGGAGGCTTCTGCAAGAATTTCTTGCAGAGGATGAGATATGCTATTATATCTGAGAAGGGCAAGAGAAGGCTGCTCAGTCAGTTATTTGAAACTAAGCAGAAACTGAAAACTACAGTCTGGAAACAGATACAAAAAAGTCCAGTCTAAAGATCTACTGCCTGTTTCAAAAGCTCACTCTTTAACCTTTCAATATCTAGTCAACAAAGTACCCACTCTAGCCTTACAAATGCTGATGTTGTTACATACCTTATCACTAGGGCAATGTTCTGATGGCATCCTGATGCTTTATTCCACTGTAGAGAAAGAAAACAAAACAAATAATGGAACAAAAAAATGAAAGTCCAAACAGAGCTAAAAAAATGAGTATTTAATTTCTCCACCCCACTAAGAGGAGATATTTCTAACATGAAGTTCAATTTTCTTTTTCTTGCTAGGTCTTTGAAAGTGGCCATGTCATGCAATAGATAACTCGATCACTCATTGATCTAGCTACACTAATTGCCTTTCTCTGTTTCAGTGCATTTCTTAATTAGATGCTGAGCAGATGTCCATAAATCTATGCTTGCTGATACATGGCACTTTTCTTTGCACCACATAACTGCGTTTTTTTCCCCCTTGAATTGCACTGATGAATAAAAGCATTGACTCAACAGTGGCCAAAATCAGGATTATCCATTCAGGTACAGGGAAGTGATGTAGAACAACTGTTATTAACCCATTCTTGCACTCCCTGGGAGAAGCGAATACTGTTGTAACTCGGAAGGGAGTTGAAGGAATGCAAGCAGGAAGGAAATCCAGTGTGACAGGTATAGGCATCACTGGGGTTGATTCGACCATAGTGCTGATCACCAAGGAGCCCAGTGCTGTGCGAGTCTTTCTGTACAGCCTGTTGAGATGGGCATCACACCTTACTGAGGTGTGTGCTAGACTGGTCCAGGGCTGGCTTGCATTTGACTGAGCTGAAAGGCAAGCAGTGTGAACTTATGACTACCTGCACTGCCTACACCTAGCCTGGCACAAATGTTTTGATTAAGGATATACCTAACTTTTGCGGCACAGAAAAAAAATAGAATAACAGAACTGATATATGTGATATTCTGTTTTGTGCTTCGAGTACGAAGACTGGCTTTCCTCTTGTTAAAATATTTTGATCTGGAGAATATGATTTAACAAGCTGTTTCATTAGTGCATAGGCAGAGACAATCTGTTCCAAGAATTGCTGGCAGCATGGGAGAGGGCATAAAGTTAAAAGCAGGTGAGGGGGACAAACGAAATGTTAAAGAAATGTGTTTTCTTTGGAGGAATGCTCCAAAATGCAAAGCCTTGTGAGAGGTGGCAGTATGTTCCATGCAGGTACATTATACTAGCACTAAAAATATGACTTCGGTTATCTAGCCAAAAAGGTAAACAACTTGCTTGGAGTCTTGGGGATATTTGTCAGAAATTCAGAAAAGAAAATGTTTGGAAGATGGAGGAACCATCTGAGCTCACTGTGAAGCAGCAAATGTTTCAGTGCTATTTTTGGTTTAGTAGTACTGTGAAATGGGAGGTGACACTACAAAATCTTGTAATAAGCATGTCTGAAATAAGCTGTTCATGGAAATATGTATGTTCCATATATTTAGCATTTAGTCTAGTCTGATAAATGACTGTAGCATCTTTCATTCCTATACTTAATGTCTCATTTTCTGAAGGAATATGTATTATTCCTGTGGTCTCAGCTTGGGAAATTAATAACCTTGTTTGGTCCTTTCATTGTCAACAGCCAAGTCAGAAAAGTTGTGCCCAACTTAATTCACATGAAAAGGGCAGCAGATGTAAATGAATCCAGTTCATCTGCTTTGATCTGTAGGACCAGAGAGAGAGAAGAGGGGAAAAAGTTTCTTTTACTCCTGAAATTATTGGATAAGATCAAACCCCGTAAGACCCCCATGTATGTAATAGAAAGTAAGGAAAAAAAGAGGTCACAATTATTGGTGGAAAAGATGCATAAGAACAAAATTCTACTGATAAGGGTATTTTCATGACAATGTCTGTCCTCACCCCTCTTGGCACTACAGCAGGTTCACAGTAGTTTGTTTGAATTACTATGAGCAAGATGATGCCACTCAAGTCTTTGAAGACAAATGCAGAGACTGGGAGAATGAAGACCTTAGGCCCTCTGTAGATGAGGATGAGGTTTGAGATCATCTTAGGAACCTGAATGTGCACAAGTCCATGGGACCTGATGAAATCCATCTGCAGGTCCTGAGAGAGTTGGCGAATAAAGTTGCTAAGCCACTGGCCATCATATTTGAAAAACCATGGCAGTCAGGTAAAGTTCCTGATGACTGGAAGAAGGGTAATATAACCCCCATTTTCAAAAAGGAGAAAACACAAGACCCAGAGAGCTACAGACCAGTCAGTCTCACTTCTATGTCTGGCAAAATCTTGGAGCAGATTCTCCTGGAAAGCATGCTAAGGCACATGAAGAACAATGAGGTGGTTGGTGGCAGCCAACATGACTTCACTAAGGGCAAATCCTGCCTGCCCAATTTGGTAGCCTTCTATGATGAGGGTATGGAACTGATGGACAGCGGCAGAGCAGTTGACGTCATCTCCCTGGACTTGCGCAAAGCGTTCGACACTGTCCCGCATGACATCCTGGTCTCTAAATTGGTGTCGTGGTTTAAGCCCAGCCGGCAACTTGGAACCACGCAGCCGCTCGCTCACTCCCCCCTCTTCCCTCCTTCCCCCGCTCCCGGAGGAATGGGGAGGAGAATCAGAGGAATGTAACTCCCACGCGTTGAGATAACAGCACTCCAGTAACTAAGGTATAATACAAACCACTACTGCTACCAATAATAATGATAAGAGGAATAACAAGGGGAGAGGACACAACCGCTCACCACCCGCCGACCGATACCCAGCCCGACCCGAGCCTTCCGGGTAACTCTTCCCAGTTTCTATACTGGGCATGAGGTGCTGTGGTATGGAATACCCCTTTGGCCAGTTTGGGTCAGGTGTCCTGTCCCTGCTTCCTCCCGGCTTCCCCTCCTCCCTGGCAGAGCATGAGACTGAGAAAGTCCTTGGTCAGAGTAAACATTACTGAGCAACAACTAAAAACATCGGTGTTATCAGCATTGTTCCCAGACTGAAAGTCAAAACCACGGCACTGCGCCAGCTGCTAAGACAGAGAAAAAATGACTGTTGTAGCTGAACCCAGGACAACTGGAGAGACACCAATTTGATGGATGGACCACTCAGTGGATAAAGAACTGGCTGGATGGCCACATGCAGAGACTTGTGGTAAACAGCTCGATGTCCAGCTGGAGACTGATAACGAGTGGTGTCCCTCAGGGGTCAGGATGATCAGGGGGCTGGAGCACCTCCCATATGAAGACAGACTGAGAAAATTGGGGCTGTTCTGCCTAGAGAAGAGAAGGCTGTGTGGAGACCTCATAGCAGCCTTCCAATATCTGAAGGGGGCCTACAAGGATGCCAGGGATTCTTCATCAGGGACTGTAACGATAGAAGGGGTAATGGGTTCAAACTTAAACAAGAGGAGTTCAAGTTAGATATAAGGAAGAAGTTCTTCACAGTGAGGGTGGTGAGGCACTGGAACAGGTTGCCCAAGGAAGTGGTAAATGCTCCATCACTGGCAGTGTTCAAGGCCAGGATGGACAGAGTCTTGGGCAACATGGTCTAGTGTGAGGTGTCCCTGCCCATGGCAGGGGGGTTGGAACTAGATGATCTTAATGTCCTATCCAACCCTACCCATTCTGTGGTTCTATGTCAATGATACTGTCTGTTTACCTACTCTCAAGGTAGCTAAATGCTAAAAATCAGCACCCTCATTAGTAAATGGAAACGACCTCTCCCCATAAGTGGATATATCACAGAAAACTGTTATTTCTTCTTAGATTCCTCCTTTAATCTTTTCCGGATTAGATCTGGATGGCTTTAAATTGAAGTCTCTCTTGTTAGCATGCACTAATTTATTTATATTTGATTAATATCTTACAGATTATCTGCTTCTTCAATGTGGAGAGAACTTGTTAGTAAAACAGAACTATAAAAAAGGCAGTGGAAAATGTATGTTTTTAAAGTGTTTTCATTTTACTTATACTACTATGAGATGAACTACTTTTCTTTGAGAAAGGCCTTTATTACTGTTCCATTTTGACGCCTGTAGAAAACTCTGTATTTATGCCACAAAAGGGGCTCAGAGGATGTATGTGTTAGTCTGGCTGGTGTTGCTCAGCTATTTACCAGTGTTGCAAATACTATTTAAAAGAGAATTTTCTATGAATCTTTCAGATTTCTCAACCTTCAGTGTTATATTTGTGTATGTGTGTATATATATATATATTTGTTTGTTTGTTTGTTTTAATAACGACTTGGTGTAGCATAATACCACCATGATTTAGGGTAATCTAGGTCTCATCTTGATACAACTGTGCCAAAACTGGAATGTAAAGGCTGTGTTTCTTTATTCCTGAGAACCTGGGCAGCAAAAAATCATGTCCTTCGTAGTAAAATAGTAAGGCCAACTCCATCTGCAAAAAACCCATGCAAACCAACCTTTTTTGTAATGTATGGTTACTGCAATGTACATATTCCATGTACATATTCCACATTTATGCCTTAGCATTTTTTGGATCTATAAGAATTATGTGAATGTCCTCTGAATGCGTGTCTAACTGTAATAAGAATCCCCTTTTCACTTGTATCCTGAATTTCATGTGTTACTGTACACTAAGTAATTCTTCTGAGTCTTGCTTTTATGCTCTTTTCAGTAGCTCTAAAAATGCCCTCTTCACCATTGCTTTTTGATTTCATTTGTACCAGTGGAAGAGTAAGAAAAGAATAGACCCTCAGCTGCTCTGCTTTTGTGCAAGTGACTGAGGTGCACAATAACCATGAGTCAGGCCTTTCTGCGGATCCTCTCATTAACTTTGCTACCATTTTTACTTAAAAAACCATCGAACTTCAGCTGATTTTGTCACTCCTGAAGAAGTGGATGTCCTGAACATTTGGTACTGATTTACAGGCCATTCTGTCCACTCCTGTTTCATGAGAGAAGATGATCCGGACACATAGAATTTTAATTTTAATGTTACTATTTGGGGGCTGAAGGAAGGATTACTATGCATACCTTTGCTTTCCTGGTAGTGCTTGGCAGCTCCAAAATATTTTTTCTCCAAGGACTTCTGGTACTATACAGCACTGCATATGCCTCCTAACCTCGAGTGGAGCAAGGTGTCTGCCATTTCATTTTGATGTATCAGGAAAGTGAAGCATTTAGTAAACCTGACCAAGTCACGGTGGCCAAACTAGTCAAACTAGTAAGTAAACAACAACTTGGTTAAATCCTTATCCTTCATGACAAAAAGTGAGTGTGCCAGTATAAGTCACCATGTAACATGCATGGAATCAGTTGTTTTCCCTTCACCACATATACAGTAAGTCCGAAATCCTATTATGAATGTGTGTCCGTATCTCTTAAAGAAGCTAGATCATCCTTTAGTATTTTAGCAAATTGTTCAAAATGACTCCAGAAAAAGAGGAAATAAGAAGTCAAGGCAGATTTTCTATTCTCATATTGTTTTTCTTCTTGGTACTCCAGTGGCAGGTTTTTCCATGTCTTGTATTGGATTAACCTTATTTATGGCATTATATTGCTAATCCTTTTTAAATATTTCTGTTCAGCCAGACAGAGAAAACAATGTGCAATGCACACACACAAAAAGATAAAAATAAGTGTAGGGATCATCTCAATTTCAGAACTAAAAGTATCTATGATATCTGTCTACCTGGCTTCTAAATGCAGAGCTTCCCAGGTCAGATGAGTGCCTCATGAGAGTCTGACATTGCTCCTCTAAAAAAAATGCTTGTGTTTTATTGGAAGCACTAGTACTGCTCACATGCTGGCTAGATATTAACCAGCTCAGGCAATATCCCTTCTGTATATTATAAAGATAACTTCTAAGACCTTATTTCCTGTCTAGGCAATATCCTAATCTGAAATTAGATCGCATTTCTGGCTTAAGGGAGATGCTTGATTTGGAAAACTAATTTGAAAGTATGTGACTTCCTGTGACCCCCACATTCCTTTTTCAGGATAAATACAGAATTTAGACTGCCAATGTAATTAATCTGCAGTAAGATTTCTAGTAATTTCCAGGTTTCTTGTGAAACTTTACTGAATTTTGAGTTTATTTACAGCAGAGAATATCTGAAATAAATATGCCAGAGCCAATAGTGTTAATCCAGGCTTGCATCAACATTACTGGAAAGAAATCTAAGTTTATATTAAATAAATTGAGAGTTTATATGATCTAGGAGTGTAAAATGTTGCAATTACACTGCCTATATCTGTATTCTGCTTATAGCAGTCAATAACACACATACTCTTTGTTCAAGACCTTTTCAGTGTGGATTTATGTAGGTAATTTTGTCTCAGGTTGTTTGGTAGTAGACATAAATCCTTTATTTCTGGAGTAAACTGATAATACAGCTCTCTATTTTGTAACCTTAGTTTTTGTGAATGAAAGCTGGAGTGTAGAAAATCAAAAGTATGAATTATTGCTACATAAAATTTAATTTTTTTTGCAGGAAAGAAAGGGTTTATTTTCATTTTAGTCTTGGTCACGCTTGTTGAATGCTTGGTGCTGGTGAGGCAGTGTAGGTGTACATGCACATGCATGGATGTACGAATGTGAAATTTTTCTTACACACTGAAGCTGAACTGGAGTGTACTGGAGCCTTTCTGAAGCTCAGGGCTGTTCTTCTAGGCTCTGTTTCTTAGTAGTTAGTAATTGTCTAGTGCACAGATAATGGGAAGCACTTTTTTCTGGGACCAGAGGTAGAGATTCACCATTACCCTCGCAGGGCTCTCACTAATGGGGAGGGAAGGTTGTGTTCCACTGAATAAGCTCACAGGAGGCAGAAAGAGGCATACCAGGTGACACCAGCATGCTGTTCACAAGGTATGTGACTGATCCAGAAATCCATTTAAAAATACTGTGTTTTTTTTTTTTCTATTTCCTGTTTCTAGAAAAAGCAAGTGAGTCAAACAAAGATCCGGGTGATCTCTACCATTGTCTTCATCCTGGCAGGCTGTGTTGTCTTTGTGACCATTCCTGCAGTTATCTTCAAACATATCGAGGGATGGACAGCCTTGGAGTCCACCTACTTTGTGGTTGTCACTCTGACTACTGTTGGCTTTGGTGACTTTGTAGCAGGTGAGCAGCTTCAAGCCTAGTCATTGTGCACGAGAGCCTTGGTCCTTAGAACTGGTTTCTGGTGTAGAGAGGAGGCTTTTTGCAATGTATTATATTCCAGGTATTTCTGTTGGGGTTACTCTGCAATTGAACACCAGGTTGATTCAACATCCAGGTGCTTTGCCATCTGCAGATTGAAAGCTTTCAGCAGTGTAGATCATGGGAGCATGGGAAGCCCTGATTATCCTCTATCGGGCAATAAATTATGCACAAGTCAAATTACTTTCCCATTGAATTCAAGATTTGTGTTAGTCCATTAGGGCTCAATGTAAGCCTAACGGCAGAAGCAAGTAGCCAAAATAATGAATGGATGAAGTTGTTATGAAGTAGGGCTGAGCCATAGGGCTGGAGAAATCTCTTGTCAGGTGCAGCACTGGGCTGCTACTGCAGGAGCTTCAGAAACTACCTTTTCTAACCTTGGCAGAAATTCTGACATTGCAGTTGCCTTGTTAAGGAAGACCCATGTAGGAAGAGAAGAACTAATGGGATATGCATCTCAGTGCTAGGAGGATACTCTCCACGATTAATACAGTGCTAGCAGGAACTATAAATACCCATCCTTATCAGTTTCCAAAGACGGAGTCAAGATAGTTGGCTGGAAAGATGAGATTTTTTTTTTTTTCTCATGCAACTGCTTTGCTCATGACAAGTTGGTTAAATAAGTGGATTTTTTTTTTCCCCATTAGCGCATGACCTCTACTCCTCATTCCTGTTAGTGGTCCTAATTAAAGGCATTAAGATCCCTGTGTTATAGCCATATTATACTACTGTTTCATTACATCCTATCAGTGAAATACAAATGGGTTAAAAACTTCAAATAAAACTACAGGGATATGTAACTTTTTTTTTTTTCCCCCAAGTGTTTTTGTAGAAAAGATTCTAATCCTCCTTTTTTGGACATCATGGTACAGAAGACATGAATTAGTGAGGAAAAAAAGGCACTGAACAAAGAAAGCCCCTGATATGAAAAAGGTGTTTTACAAGCATTCAGATACAAAATTGTTGTATGAGCTTGGTCCATTTTGCCACTTAATATGAAGAGAAGCTCACTGATGTTTTGTCTTTGTGGTACCACAGTGTGAAATAAAAATAATTCTCAATATTTTTTTGAAACATATCACACTTTGGTATTGTTTTCTTTAATAATATAATAGTAAAAATACTCCTCTGAATATTAAATGGTAATATCTAGCAAGACTAGGAGAATATGATCCACAGCTGGGTGGCTACTGGCAAACAGAATTTTTCAAAAATCAAATAGATGACTGTGAATGAGAAAACTTCAGGGGCAATCTCATGATAAGACTTTAAGGCAGGTGATCACCAGGAGACTTTGGTTTTGTTGCTGGTTTTGAGATGGATTTTCTGTCACTTTTATTTTCTGTCACTTTAATCTCTCAGTATCTCTGTGTCTTCAGCATCAAATAAAAAATACCACATTCTATTGGATGAAATAGCATCAACGGAGCTATGGTGATTTATTTCACCTAGAATGTGTCCCAGCTCTTGGCAGACTGGAAGGTTTTTGTACTACTGTTGGAGATAAAATTGTGGATGGTGCCTGAAAAAAAATGGAATATCTGATAGGCTGAAAAAAGTGAGCTCACACTTTCTTAGCTGCCTGATTACTCTGTAAGATAGACATAGCTTCACAGCAAGCTTCCTTGGGGATATGTATGATCAGAAGAGCCTCATTGTACCATGGCAACAGCAGCTCCCGCCTCCCATTTTTTCACACTCTTAAAGACTGGAAAAAAGAAAGTGATTCATGAAGTCTATGGGGAGAGATTATCATCAAACCCAGTATTTGGGTCCCTGCCAATTCTCAAATACCTGTCTTTCCATGGGGATGTTCAAACAGGCTATGTACACTCATACTGAGTCTGGATAAAATTACAGAGTCATAGGAATGTCTCATATTGCAAAAAGCTTTGGCAAAAAAGCTGAACTGTGTTGTCTGGTGATGGGGGGAGAATCCTAAAATCCCTCTCTATTCATACAGAGCTACATCTTGATGTCTAGCTCTTGTCTAACGAAGACTGGAGTCCAGGAAATAGGCAATCCTCTTCCCAAGTCTCCTGGTAGGCTTGCTTTTCAGGCAGAGATTTTACACAGGTACCACCAGGGTGGTCTTTGTTCACCTGCACTGAGGGACGTGGCTGTGCCCATGGGGCTGTGCAGACTCTTTGCTGCTCGCTCACTTCAGCTCAGGGGCGTGCCTGCTTCTCCCTGTCTCTCATTCTTGCACTGTGCATAGCAGTGTGGTAGGACTGGGAGTCCCAAATGTGAGGTTGTGTTTGCTTTCTTTTGAAAAAGCTTACTCCACTCTGTGGTAGGCAGCAGTGTGGCTGCTACTACGTTTGTTTGAGGCTCTTTGTAGTTCTTTAGATTTGCCAATGTCTGCATACTTATTTTACTGTCTCATCCTGAGACTTGCATGAAGACCATGTAGGGTATTTGTTGCTTCATTTGATCTGTATCTCCTCTCAAGTCACCTGTCAGAGAATACAGCCCTATAACTGTTACCCAAACAGGCAGGATATCTTTGTTCTCAGGGCTGATGCATGGTTGGCTTCCTGTCAGATATCCTGATTTGGAAGGGAAGCTACTTTTTTTTCTCCTGCATATAGGTCTCTCAATCCTGAGGCTAAACCTATAAAATCTGGAAACTATAAGCTGAGGGAGTTAACTGTAAAGCTTCTCAGCTACCAGGCTGCAGGCAGTTTAGAATAAGGAAGTCTAAATGTATTAAACTTTTTTCTTGGGAATGTGTTCATGCTGTTGCAAGTACTATCAAAGCAGAAATTTCAGAGTTGCTTCAGAGTATGCACAATCAAAGAAAAATATTTACTAGGTGCTCTGGCAGGTCTCATAGCAGCAGAACAATAGGTAATTTTGACAAGTCTTAAATTAAGGACAGATCATGTTCCTCCTCTCTGACAGGCCTCTTGTCTCAGAATTGCAGTTATTTTGTCATAATTTTGGCATTCCATGATTCCTAAGCATAAGTATATGCTTATTTCAGGAGGAAATGCTAACATCCATTACCGGGAGTGGTATAAACCCCTAGTGTGGTTTTGGATCCTTGTTGGCCTTGCCTATTTTGCTGCTGTCCTGAGTATGATTGGAGACTGGTTAAGAGTCCTGTCCAAGAAGACAAAAGAAGAGGTATGACTAGTAATTTTTCAGTGATTTCTCATTTTATAAGAGAGCTTTAAGTGCCTTATTCCTG